GCGTTTTGAACGACTAGAAAAGTATGGATATCGATCCAGAATTATAAGCGACTGCCCGCGAAAAGTTTGAGACTACCGTCAAACGCTCAAAATGCTGGCGCACGCTTGAAACGGTAAATCGGTATCAATACTTTCCTAGTCGTTGCCGTACGCTGCCGCGGGCTCAAAACGCTGCCGTAGGCCGACGTCCTCTAATCGCTACCTATACTTCCCTAGTGCTAAACGGTCAAACGCGGTCAAACGCTCGAAACGCACAAAACTGTGCCATGCGCTAAATTTTGACGCAAAGTATGAACGCAGCCTAACATTATTAGTCATTTCGTATCTTCTTTCATGTCTAACAGAACCAAAACAATAACGTATATCGTGTACGATGTATGAAGCTCTCAAATTCTTTCGCCTCATTGGACACCCATAAAAAATGGAGGAAAAAAGTGTTAGACATACAGCAAGGCTCTGATCTGAGAACGCATACCGAAATTTCATCGGCTACAGTCGCCAAACGAGTCAAAGTTAAGGTACACCTCTGCTCAGCGTGTGACCAGCGCTCACCTTTTTACTTTCAGCTATGACCTCCCGCTTCTTCTCATCCTTCTGCTTCTCCTTGTCCTTCTTAAACAAGAATTCAATTATCGTTTTTAATTTGTTTATGAACAGACAACATACCTTTGCATCTTTAGCTTCCTTGTCCGAAAGTTCACCATCTGCAAATACCGAAATAATTGTTCTACTATAGACCAGAACTATTTTCAAAAGCGCGTCATACTTCGCGACGGTTTGCGCGATTGGATCCCCAGTGAAACAATACGAGTATTCAATTTCGTTATATGCAAAGAGTTCATCATCGATGTGGGACCCACAGAAGTAGCAAAAGGGTATGGGGGGGGGGGCAGGAATTCTCTGAGGTTCGTCTTTCTGGTAGAGAAAAGTTGTTCATTGTTGATTTTTTTTTCAATCTAAAGCATCGCACGCCTCTCGCTGGGGGAGGACATATCAAGGCAATGTAGAAAATTTCCTCAAATACGGGAAAAATATTTATCGAAAAAATCGCTCAGCTAAATATGACTCTGCTTCCCAACGATCTAATCGCCCAGGCGAAAGCAATGTGATGGATGAAATAGCGGTGTCAGTTCGACTCCTCAAATTTCCTCCGGTACGACCCCCTCTTACAGACTAGCTACGCTCCTGCCGGAAGTTCGAAATCTTGTCGGCGAGCGGGGGTAGGTGTAAACAATTTCCATAAACTTACATTAGGGCCTGACGGCTACCGCCAACAATGAGGATTGCGTAACGCACGAGACAGGAAAAATTAAAGGATAAAGTTTTTGCCGTTGATCAACCCTTTTGGGACGCGGCACGCATTCTGCTTGCCTTCAGAACCATTGGATTGCTGAACGAGATGTGGTCTATGAATTTCGGAGCCCAGCCGATGAACAAGTAGCGTTTCACCCTCCCACCCGAGTCTGGAACCAATCTATCTACCCGCAGGGTAGAAGGCTAGGTTGGCCTGGGCAGCAACCGATAAATGATTTTATCCCGGACATGGTAAGCGTGCCACTTGCCGCTACACTTCCACCGCCCCAGGAAAAACTAACAATTGGAAAACTGCTTTTGAAGCCAATAGGCTCCCCTGGTGGGTGTCGGACAGTGGTGATGTATGCTGATCGATCACTCCCTGGCCGCGTTATGGATTTCACAGCGATGACGTGCCCTTAATACTAGTACTTCATCAGAAGTCTCTCTGCCCTCCTCTCCCCCTGGTCTACGAATACTGCGGGAGCCCCCTGATCGACGAATGTTGATAGGGGAGGGGAAACGGAGAGGAGTTCAGAGAAAAGATAAAGCGGTGGTACCTAGATAATTTTCCTCATTTCAGGATTCTCCCTGGTTACAAACCCACCTTCAGCTAAAGTAACAAGCTGTGGATGATCCGAATCGATCCATGCTAAAATCTTCAGACGAACTTCCTCGTCCTTCTTCATATCTTCATCATCAGCCGGCAATTCATCTTCTTTCAGCTTGAGTTCAGGCTTCCCTGCAAAACAGTCTGCTTACTTACACCAACTAGCAGAGGTAGACGAGGAAAACAACAATCGCTGTAACAATCATATAGTTTGCCTCTTGCTCATGCGTCAACACATAGTAGAGGCAATTTACTCAAAAACATAAAGTGGCAGCAATTACATCTAAACGTTCTCAATAGCCTTCTCATTACGATGCAAAACAACAATTTTGACGCAAAAAATTGACAAATTCTGACAGGCACACGACCGACTTTTTGGACCAATAACAAATTAGTTAGTTGAATAGATATACCGTATTTATAGCGAAACGATCCTACCGCCAACACTTACTGTTTGTTATTTAAGAGCGAAAAAATAAAGGGCCCGAGAGCAGTTACTTCAATGGGCTGTAGTAAACGAGAGGTAGCGAAGTGCTGCAGTGACCTCATCAAGCTCCCGGGCTTCCAGAATGCTTGGCTTTACATACTTGACAGCAAACCATTCCCATAAGAATTCCCAGAAATATGGCGCAATGGATCGCATAGCAAGGGCAAGAGCAGGATGCCAAAAAAAATATGACATGAGGCACAGAACAAAATGATGAACATCTGCTCCCTACAAGCCATGAAGACATGGTAAGAAAGACAACATGCGACACAAGGACCAACATGCGAGAGCAATCTTCAAAAAATCTCAACGTTCATGTCAAATTTTGCTTTTGTTTAATTCATGCGCAAATTATTAAAAAAATTCTCTTCAGCCTCATCCATACGCCAAACTGAAGAAGCGCGAAGAGTCCACGATGTTATGAATGATTACGGTAGCATAAGCAGATTAGTCCGAGGTATTCTCAGTGGCTTTTTCGTTTAAATTGGTGTCTATGTAACACATTTTTTTACCCTGCATGTGTCGTGTAGTATTTTCGGATATTATATTGTAACATCAACTGATAGTTTTTCGTAATTACGACGTCCTACTCACGTTATCCAATCAATTAGCATTCTTAAACCTCTCAGTCTTTATCGTTTTCAACTTTATACCTTATAAACTTGCTGCAATTGATTTTTCTTCCTTTCCTTACTGAAGAGCACGGAAGGAGGAATATGCTTTTGCTCGGCTTCCGTCTAAGGGCACGTGCGAAACGGAAGCTGAGCTATCTCTTTGCTTTCGACCCCCTCAATAATTCTCATTTATTAGATTTTACAACATAGTTCATTAATCTGTTTCAAAGATTTTATTTATGACTGGTTCCATTCAATAAAACCGTTATATATTAACACAAATTCTCTATTACAGATGGAAAACGTATATTTCAGCGCCCGCGTAGCTGAGCGGATCGATCGAAAGAAAGTTTGAGTGAGAAATAAAATGAGTTCATTTAATTTAGTGTACAATGTAATGCGTGAGGGTATTGCTTACATTCCTGGCTTTTTATCTCCAGATTGACTTTTTTGCTGCTAAATTGAATATGCTTAGAAATGATTGTAGATTATTAATCAGTATCAGTTGGTGATGGGTTAATGGCTGTAGATTATTAATCAGTATCAGTTGGTGATGGGTTAATGGCACTTTCCGCGTTCATCTGATGCCCTGCCTTTGGACATGGTGGTCCTGACTGCATGCAGGGAGGATGTACTCCTTTCGCATTTACAAAAATACTTGAGGAAAACGCAACTCGCTCACGAGTCCACGGTTCCGCCCGATAACCGCGGCAACGCCCAGCTTTCATTACTGAAAATTCCCCTAGTGGTGCGGTTGTTTCACTACCAACTCTCGATTCCGATTGGTGAGGGCGGGGTAAGAAGAAAGAGCTAACATCAATAAGTGTGAACTCGTCCGACCACGCCTTTTCTTCGTTTTATGCGTGTACAAATGCCGTATGGCATGTATGGGGTTGTACATGGAGCATTTCGTGCTGCTTTTTCTGTTCTTTTTATTTTTGTGTTACTCACCATCCTGTCATTAGTATCTGAGCAGCACAACTGACCACTCTTGGACGCGGGGAGTAATTTTAAACCTACGACCTTCACAAGAGCGAATTGTACAAAAAAGTTACCCATTTCCATCCAAAGTAATAAGATACAGTGTAACTAACTCAAGGATTCATCTCTTCGAGCAAAATGGGGGGCTTTCCAGAAGAGCGGCCAAAGAAAGCAATATGCGCCGGCAAGATGCAATGCCCCCCCCCCCCTCCCCTATGATAGCGCTGTCACTACCTAGCAGTTCCAATCTTCTGGCTGTGCTTAGCAAGATTTCGTCTTCTTGATTCAGGCGAGGAGAACGGGAGCGAAAATGTAATATGATCCTGACATGTCTCTTCAGTGTCACACTAATCTTCAGCAGCCTCCCAGGCTGGCCAGGGAGACGCATTTCTTACATCGCTATTCCGTCAAATTCACAATGTTTCCAGCATCGGGGCGAAGGCAAGTACAATCGAATCCCCTCTTATCTTATTTGATGGGAAACGCTTTTTTTCAATTCAGCCCTTCACCCTTCAACCGACGCAGACAAATCGAACAAGACGCATGTAGAAGTTTAGGAAAGAATGCTCCACATTTCTACATTCTCGAAATCGAGTTTTCAAAACATTTGATTATATAAATTATTATACCATATATTGCTAGATTATTATTATTAAACATGAAAATTGAAAATTAATGAAACTCAATAATCCTATAATCTTAACTGCCCTTAATTTTTGTAAAACCAAACTAGAACAGAAATAGTAAGGCACTAGTTTTCTGCAAGAAGCCCGCATGGCCGTTCATCTTAATAGATGTTTGTGAGTGAGAATCCCCCTACTCAACAAAATTACTCGCGAGAGCGTCTTTCCACATCTTTTAGCGAAAACATTTAGCCACACGTCTTCTCCGAACCTCAGCAATATGGCCGAAAACGAGCTAGCAGTCTTGTGCAAGCCCTCAGCGCGCAGAGCAAAGAAACAAACGAATATTTCCATGAAAGGTTGAGAGCTCAAAGGCACACCCCCCGCGTCCATTTAATGTTAAGGCGTCACCCTTGGACAAGGTAGTCCTGCCTACAAGCCTTCAGGGTGTACTACTTTCGCTGAAAAATATGAGAGGAATGCGTGACCCGCTGGCGACGAGGCCATGGCTCCACCACTGGCCATAGCGACGCACAGTTTTCGTGTCTAAAGGCTCCCTAGTGATGCGGTTGTTCCGCTTCTAGCCCTTTTCCTTTTTGCATGGTGAGAGTTTAAGGTGATAAAAATAAACAGTTGGCATCAACAAGTAGGAACTCGACCGACCACGCCCTTTCTTTGCACTATGCACGTACAGGCCCCGTTTAGGTCGAGGTTCTACAGAAAACATTTCGCGCGATTTTTTTCCTGTTTTTGTTTTTACTTTAGTGTTATGAACGATTTTGTAATTAGCATTTGAGCAGCACAGCGCATCATTTTCAAACCCGAAGCATGTCTTTAAGTGAGGAAAATCTACGACACGTCAAAGTTTTCAAACATTCAGCTTTAAGACAATGAATTACCTCCGAGATAATGCATCAGACAGATTTTCCAGTAAGCCATGAAAAAAGCAAAGCGCACGTCTTTTTGAACATAAGAATCGCTAAAAGCAAGCATGCACGAAATTCCCCTTACCAATGTCTTTTCGATATTGGATAGCCCAGGCACGAAGCTCTTCACGCACTTTAGGTTCGGCCTGAAATAACATAAAAAGCTATCCGATGAGGCAAACACAATTATCACATTTACATAGGACATTAATCCCCAGTGACAGTAGGATCTCACCTTAACGACTAGTTTCTTTTCTCCAATTTGAAAATCGTTCAACACTCGTAGTGCTCTCAGCGTTCCTTGAGGATCTTCGAAGTCACAAAACCCGAATGCTTGAAATTTTCCATTTGAGCCCTGGATCCGCTTCCAGGTCGTAACTGTGCCACATTCCTGCAGTATAAATTTTATAGGGTAATAAACTTTGGAATTCAGTGAACAACCTTACTGAACAGATCAAACAACAGTACCTGAAGCATTTGCTGCATGAATTCGTTACTGCATTTCTCTGAGATATTTCCTACGAATACCGTTGTCACTGGCTTTTGTTTTATTGGGCCCATCGGGATCTGGAACGAGAACAAAACATAACTTCACTTTCGCTACTACTCTCTGATTTTTTTCAAGCTATTCAAATTACTAAAAGCGAAATCTTCCGAAAAAAGTTAGGCAGCGTTCACACTTTGCTGGTGGTCCATCAGGGACCACCAGCGTCCACTAGCGCCAACCATCGCTTCGAGCGCACATCAGCGCCAGCGACTAGGAAAGTATGGATATCGATCTAGCAAAAGCCAGCATCCACCAGATCACAGCAGTACCTTTAAACTTGAGCAAAACCGCCCGCGAAAACTCTACTGCACGCTGGTGACGCTGCCGTTCCTAGATCGATATCTATCCTTTCCTAGTCGCTAGACGAAGAGTATGTATGCAGTCTCAGCGCATCGAGCGTACGTCAGCGTTTTGAACATATTGAGCGACTAGGAAAGTATAGGAACAGACGTAGCGTTTTGCACGGACACTCGCTCAACATGCTTAAAACGCTGGTAGACCCTCAAAACGCTTAAAATGTTGACGCAAAGTGCGAACGCAGCCTCAGATTTGCTTGCGACATCGTGGGCTTCATAGATTTCTCTACTTTGCAAGGCGCTTTTGCAAGGCTAATTACATCTAGATTTTCAATTAGTGATCCAAAATGGGATACGGGGGGGGGAGATCGTTCAGGGAATATGTTCCAATTTACAGGCTCTGAGGAAAGCCATGGGGCTAACGTACTTAGAGGTGGGACTACAGGGCAGTTCTTCTGCATCCCTTGCCCAAAGTCTCAGGTATCTGCCGCACGACCACGGCCTTCCTCTCCTACTTCTTTTTTCCTCCTTCCTTCTCTCATTCCTCCTCCTTATTTTCGCCTTTAAACGCTCAGCCGGAAGAAGCGATAAGGAAATATCTCTGGACACTCGCAGCGAGAGAACATCCCGTTGGCAGAAGCTTTGTAACGCAAAAAAGCCGAAGCCCAGAGCGTAGGCGACCAGAACCGCCCAGGGATAGTCTGGCAGTCAAGACACCGTCTCCTCCAAGGCTAAGCCTTGATTAGAGAAAGGATGCGGACGTTCTGGCAAGTGCCCCTCCGACTACGTTGCAGATCACGAGTATGACGATCGTTCTTTTACGCTGGCGCCGCCACATTTCTCATCAAAATTGGTGTAAACTTCACACTGTGGTTATTTGGTATTGTGATCACAAGAACATTCATTTTCATCATTTTCACATTCATTCGACATTCATTTTCAGCCACCCTGGCGCATCGGGCACTGCATCTTTTCCTATCGAAATCGAAAAAAACTTGCATGATAGGGCTGCATGATGCACTGGTCACGAAGATGGCACTCATTTTTCGACTCCAGCGCTACTCAGCACTCTGTTAAGGCAGAGCCTGGGAGAAGAAATGATTCCTTTCAGCCAAGGCTTAGCCCCAGCAGAGCGCAGATGATCGCAGTGCCTTCTATTAGCTCCTGCGCCAAAAATGAGTGACATATTTGAGATCGAGATGTCAAATAACCCTCATGTACGAGTTTCCATCAAGTTGGTGATCGAGGTACTTTGGCGCCGGCGCCTTTGGCGCGATTTTCGGCCAAACGGATGTGTTCAGGAGGTGGAGCTAACCCTAGGACCGGATTTTCAGCCAAATCTGCCCTCGAGGAAATAGTCGGTAAAAAAACTGGTTTGTTTTCGGAAGATTCAAATAGAAGTAGTTGAATAGTGCCAAAAAAACTAAACTACTAACCTGTTGCGGGATAAATCCTCGACCTATCGGGTTAAAAAATATCTGTGGTTGTGGAGGAAAACCTGAACACACCATTAAACACTTTATAAACGGGAACTGGTATAAATATGAAAGTAATAAGCTTACCAGGAAAAAGGAAATTATCAACCCCAATGATCGGGAGCATTCTCGTTTTCAACCTAGCAGTGTACGATTATGTGAATGGGTGAATTGGCCTGCGAATAGAAAGCGAGAGGAGGAGGCGGACCCACACTCAATGGATGTCTTCAGTGACGCATGGGAGGGACAAAGTAGCGAAAATCGATGTGTCTCTATCATTTCACGCAAGCATTGCTGTCGGCTATAGCCCGAGAAATGCGACATTTGTCAGGCGGGGGCAGCTAGACGGGGGCCAATCAGACCAATTGATTTATGGCTCAACTATTTAACAACAAAAACGTATCACACAATGAATTCAGGCGGGCCTCAGCAGCCGTTCGCCCAGCCGAAAAATACTTATTAATGGGTTCCTAACGATATGAAAACCAATGCCATTCGTTATGCAGGGACTGGTCGAGAATATATGAACATCCATCTAATCGTACGCTTTGTCATATAATGAATCACCAAATTGAAATTTATTCAGCGCAGTTCGGCTTGAGAGGGGCATTTTGCACATCCGCTAAATCCGTTTGCTAATTTATACCAAACATTTCCAAGTTACACCTTGCCAGACATGAAGACTGCTGTTAGTAGCGAAATGATGTGAGCCACTTTGGTCACAGAAAATCACAGGCTTTCACACAATGATCAGGACTAAATGTTATTTTGTGCCCCCTCCCCCACCCATTAAGGCGAACTGCGCCATTCATTCTATAATAATAAAACTAACCAAAAGGAGGCATGGGAAATCGTTGAGGAAACGCCATGGTTGCAACTGTGGTCAACGATAACCACGGTTCTGAAACAAACGTTTCCATGATACCAGCGTTAGAGAGACAAAGAAAGGGAACAAAAGAACTCATAAATCTTTAATGACGGCGAAACTGCGACAACGAGAGACTTTAAAGCTTTATATCGGGTTGAGGCATAAGTTCGTAGCGTTTCTGTTTATTCTTTTTTTTTACAAAGGATTTCACTTCTTGACCAAATGCATATTCTTCATTCAATAGAGCTCTTTCTGCCCTACAAAACTGTGCTAATCGTTTTCTTTTTTATTACGTATATTTTATTATTTTCAGGCTCAGAAATGAAATATCCCGAGGGGGGAAAAAACAACATTTTGACACCCGCCCCTCCTTCGCTGTTCAGTAAATCCCAGAAGCTGCCATTTAATTATAAGTTCAGGTTGTCAGGCTGCGTACAGTAGCCGCAAAGATTCCGCGTGAGATTAATTGTATTGGACAACGGGACCAAGTATTACGTTTGCCATTTAGTTTTGGCGTGGAGTACTGTAGCCTGGCCGCGAGGGCCGGTGCCTGCCAGGGTCGGGTGGGTCGCTGCCCGAGTGGCCACCCCACCCCACCCCGGAGCTTCCCCTTGAGCGGTTATGCAAAAACCGTATAACAGGAGCTATTAACGCACCTCAAACCTGGGTAACTAAACCGATCCATGTTGAAGACAAGCCAGGCACGGAGAGACTTTCTAATGATAAGTGTCTCAAAGGGATTCGGTGCACTGAGAATAGTTTGATAGGAATGCCACTGTCAACAAGAAGCGCTACATGCGCCTACATAGGGGTTGTTTGACTGCCCCATCGACGAGGCCAAACCACACTCTTTCACGACAATGAAAAGAACTTGGCAGAACTTTTGTTGCACAAGGGGTCCTAGCCACACAGCAAAAGCTCTAATAGAAGGTCCTTCAGCAACCGCCGTGTCCTCCGGATTTTGCACCCAGACTTAAGCAGCTTTTCGGCCTCGATTAAAAGCGAAGAGAAGCAGCTGTTGAGAATTTTTCCCTTTGGGATATTCTAGTTCTGACCCTAAAAGTAATAAAAACACATTATACAAAAAAACGACTAGCGCACTTAGGTAGAGCAGAAAAAGCTTCATCGAATGAATATTACACATCTGGTAAAAAAGCAAAAAATCGTTGTGAAAAAAGATAGAATTAAGGAAGCAACTTATTCCTCATTCTGATACGTGCAGAAAACGAGTTCTTTTCAAAAAACAGGCTGTGTTTAGAAGGACGTAGAGCCGAAACGCAAATGAAACTTCGCCGTAGTAAAGGCACAAGATACAGGAAAGTGGAACCAAAGTAAAATGTGAAAAACAAGCCCTTCTTTGACATCGTGGGCATTTTGGTGCAGAGCTCCAGTGCAAGCAGGACGACTTTTCGCACAAAGGAATTACTTCAAGCACCCTGAAGCTGCTTCCGCCCCAGGCTTAGGCGAAAATTCTCATCCCGCTGTTCTCATTTCTCGAATTTCTCATCTTTCTTCGCGCCTTCTGGCACTTAATGGCCTCCCAGCGTGAAAAAAAGCATAAATGGCATGGGAATGGAGTGGAGCACACATCTTGCAGCCCTAAGAACCTGGCGGCACAAAACCGAGATAACCTTAATCCGATGACCTACTGCACTAAAATGCCCACAGGATCGGCTCAAATGTTACAAAGAATACAACCAGTGCTTTTTCAGCAATTTTCTGTGCAGGTCTCAAATTCGGATATACTTAACTCATCAAAGACTTATCAGAGATAGCAGCAGATGAATAAAGTGCTTGGGGGAGAGAATGAGATGTCCGAAAACAGAAACGTCTTTCAGACTAACAAAGGTTCCTGGAACGAATTCATGGAAGAAAAGAGTAATTCCCAGTGGAATGCAGGAAATCGCGCTAATGCAGTTCGGGCAGGGGGAAGCACCACTCATATGTGCCCCTTTATCTCTTCCCAAAAAGGCTTGGGCTTCAACGCAGACGACCATCACTAAATAGGAGCAGTCCTGCTGAGCAGGCATAACCCTCACTAAGCCTAATCCTCGATAAGAGAAGGGATACGGAGGCGTTGACCGATGGGTCCCCAGGGCACTTCCTGTCATTGGAGGAAAACACTGCAAATACCACTTCCCTAAAAACTTCCTCTTCCAGTACGACCCTCTGAACATCCCATATCGCTCCTGCAATCTTCTTGAAATTTCCCTCGTTCACTGAGACGTTGGCAGATAGGTCCTCTGTACCCAACTACATTAGCATCGGTAAGCCTTCTGGAAAGAGTGGCATTCGGCTCAAGGCATGTCGTACGTTGGGGTTTACCCAGGGAGGTCGTATTTGGTCGCCACATGGACGGGAAGGATCGCATTTGGTCTGAGAAAAGATTTTTGATAGTTGATTTTTCCTGTTCCCCCCCCCTCTCCCTCCCTAATGCTCTTCATAACAACTATTTACAATTGTTGAAAGTAGTTGTTGGTTGCGACGACCTCCTTCCTTCCCCCCCCCCGACACGACAAAATTTTGGGGAGAAACTAGAACAATTTGGGGAAGTTTTGGAAGACGTGGTGGAAGTTGGGGGGAAGCCAAGATAGTAGGTAGGATGGGAAATAGGGGGATGGTAGCTGAGAACTATGGGGAAGGGGGTCCAACTGAGTAGTACAGGGAAGGGGGAGGTCGAAGCTGATGAGGAATTTGGGGGGGTCGTAATTTTCTAAACTTTTCCCGAGGCAGGACCTGCTCTGATTTGGATCCCTAGCGAGCGGGGTCATGTTTGGTAGCTTCAGGAGAGGTTGGTATGTTCCCCTTCCAGAGAAGTGCTTTTGATTACTGGCTTTTCTCGGTTTTTTTTTGTGCGCTGAACCCCCCCCCCCCCCCC